TGTATAAGGTAGTATTATTTTTATTATTGCAATGCAATATTTTGTCAATAGAAAAACTTCAGTAAAATATTTAGTTTTAAAAACTTATATATGCCTAGAGAAAACAAAGCATTAAAATTGTTACTGCATATTCAAAAAATCGTAAATATTTAAAAAAAGATATTTTAAAAGATTAAAGTGCGGTAAACTTTAATTAAATTTACCTTTATTTTAATTGTAGAAATTAAAAATGTTATAATATATAGGGTGTTCCATTAAAAAAATACAACTTTGATATTTTTTCTTTATTTGGGACACCTTTTGTAAATAATTTTAAATTGTAGCTTTAGTAGTCCTCCAAGGATCACATCACTTACAATTTTAAAAAATCGAATAATTTGTCTACAATACTCCGTGTCGTATGGAGTGAATAACTGTGTATATAAATAATTATGACACATATAATTTGAATCATGTTTAACGTGACTAACAACATAACTAAAGCAGCAAGGTAAATTAAGTAAATCTTAATACAATAGTAACTAGAAACTGGTAGTATAGTTTAACCCCAGAAACACGCCTATGAGTTTTTTTTCGCGAAAAAAAAATTAAAATTCCGAATTTTTTGAAATTTTTTTTGAACTTTTTATAGTTTTTAGTTAAAAACATAATTTCTTGATAATATGACAACATAGGTAGTAGATTAAATTTACAAGAAAGAAAATGCAGAAAGGGTCCAGTGGTTCTCAAAATTTTAGCAAAAAATCATTTTTTGAAATTTTCAAAGTAAATTAACTCCGTTATTTTGGACTTAATTGAAAAATGATGAAGAGAAAATATATTTCTTTTCTACCACCCCTTAAAAATACTTGCACTTATTTCTGGGACACCCTATATATGGGGAATGTATATGATATGCATTTCCAAGTCAACTGAAAGCCGTTCGATCATACGATATAATTAATATACGCATAGTATGAGAAAGTTAATTGAATATTGTAATTATTCAAAATATGAAATTAATTCATTAATACTGCAAGCTTTAATATTCTAGTATCAACATTATCTAATTAAAATATACTAAAATTTGAGTGAGTTTTGTTCTCTACTAATCTGATAACAGTAACCTCAATAAGATCAAATAAATTGCCGATGAATATGTATTATTATACTTTGATAAAGAGATAATATTAGTGCACTTATTGTTTAAGTAATAATATTCAAACAAAGCCTATTTTAACAATTATTCTTCAGACGGTTGACCTAGCCTTTTTGATACTGAAAATCATTTAGTACTAATAAATGCCAATTGCTATTTTTACTCTTAGTAAGTAATGATATATGCACATTCATGAAAGCTATTGATGTAGAAATTTGTGTTTTGTTTTGTTAAAACTCTCCTACTAGACTAAGAGCTAGCAACGTTTTCGAGAATGTATTTTAAGACGTCTGACTCTTTGATATATATTTTACTATGCTCTCTGGAACAGCATGCGGCCCGTCTGGCTGCCGATGCCCGTTGCGTTCACTACTGCGCATTGGAAGAAGATCCTGTATATATATTTTTTAATTTAGTCCTATAAATTCTAGTATTGAATATAAATCGAACATGTCTCCATAGCACAGTGCGTAGAGTTTTCGATACGAATCGAGGATTTAGAGTTCGAATCCGGGTCAGGGCAAAGACTTTTTATTTTATTTTCGTTTATATTCTGATAGTAAAGTATTAAATATTTGGTTTTTTTGAATCGCCAGAATTATTTAATACTTTACTATCAGAATATAAACAAAAATAAAATAAAAAAGTCTTTTCCCTGACCCGGATTCGAACTCTGAATCCTCGGTTCGTAGTCGGAAACTCTACGCACTGCGCTATGGGGACATGTTCGATTTATATTCAATACTAAAATTTAAAGGATTAATAAAAATATAGGATCTTCTTTCAATGCGCAGTAGGGAACGCAACGTTTACCGGCAGCCAGACGGGCCGCATGCTGTTCTAGAGAGTATAGTAAAAGATATATCAAAGAGCCAGACGTCTTAAAATACTTGTTTTTCCGACGTTGCTAGCTCTCGTACTATACGTTAAATCATTCTTATACATTATAAGTAATTTCTGATTTATTTATATTTGATAAACTAAAAAAAAATCTGAGAAAGTGTTGTTAAATTGATGTTTTCAATTATAAATAGATTCGATTCTATGATTGTTTAGCTCTTTTAATTCTTTATTGGTATAATAAATAACTTTACTTGAAAAAAGATAATATTGTATTGTTTTAGTGGAATAATTATGAAAAAAATCAGAATAATTTATTGCTCTTGCTTTCTTAATAAACATTTATTCAGTCAAAAGACTGAGATTTAATCAAGAGCTCACGCATTTCATTAACAACAACGTATGCGTGATATTAAAATAATGTTTATAACATTACTATGGTACTGTAAAAGAGACAGTGCTATATGTGCACTATACTTCGGGTTTATAACGTTCTAGAACAAACCTATTGTTATCCCCTAAAATAAACCGATGTTGTTCGTTTGACTTTATATACTCACAGGCACGAAAAATGGACACCTTAAAATTTTGTATTTTTTTCTAGCAGGATTTTGATGATATTTTAACCAATTTCTAGCTAAATTATTTAACTTTTAAGTATCTCTTTCTTAATGAAAGTTTTTGTCTGTCAATTATACAGAGAGAGGGAAAACAAAATGTTGATATTTTTGTGAAAGTTTGAAACACCCTGTGGAATATGTTACAAATCAACGAATTTAAAAATAACTTTGTCATATAGGTACGTCTTTTTTCTATAGTTTGTTTTTTGGTTCATTTTAATAGCTTTATTTTTATTGGAGATATTTGCATTTGAATAAGAGAGTAATGATTCACAGCAATTTTAGAATTGATTTTGGGTCCTTATCAACCCACTTATAAAATAGTGTTTATTGTTTTTATAATGCCATTCTCACTGAAAAGTCATAATTTATTGACGTGTACTCTAGTAGAGATGATTTTAAGTTCTGAAGCATCAGCTATTCTTGCTTTAATTGATCATGGTAGAAATCAACGTTTGGACTTAAAACCATATCTGCCAGTATAACTGCCCAACAGACAATAATAATATGATTTTTCACAAACTCTATTTTTCACAAACTCTATTTTTCACAAACTCTATTTTATAGGTCTGTTGTTCTATATGTCTGCTAGGACTAAAAACAAATGTATGGTTTTAATGTAAAAAATACGAAAAATTGTTAGTGTCTTCTTCAAAAGCGAATATATCGAAAAAAAGTTATTGAGGTGAATCAAAAAACAAACTATCGAGAAAAAATACATCCTAGATGACAAAATGATTCTTAAATAAATTGGGACTTGGCAAATTTCATTTTTAATTTAGAAAGAGATAAAAAGTCAAATAATTTAACTACAAATTGTTTAATAAACCATCTAAATCAGTCCACTAGAACTCAATACAGGGTCCGGCAATAGTGCGTCGGGCATCCGTAGCTCCTAGAATAAAGAAGTTGGGAATTTTGTTTAAGTGCAAACCTGAAGTACCAGGATGTATTTCCGGAAAATATTTTAACTTCTATAGGGTGGCTCAAAAAAGTGCGAGTGGATATGCATGTTTTTTTTAAATGGAACACCCTGTATTTGCACTTTTGGCTTCCTTTCAGATCACTACATAATCCTAAGATATGAGTAAATCTATTTCGATAGTTTCAGATATTTTAAAAATAAATCAATAATATATATTTTTCAACCGTTCTTAAAAAAATATTAAAAATACAGGCACTGTTCTGAAATCAAAACTATATTAGATATTTACTTTAAATGGTCTGTTCTTACTTTGCTATAAATATGGTAATCGTAAATCATACAGGATGTTCAATATTTTACGCCCAACTTTCAAAAATATAAAATAATTTTTCTTCGTTTTTTTTTTTAAATGGAACACCCTGTATATTATTTTTTATTAGATGGAGAATTAAAAAATGAACATTTTTTGTATTTAAAGTATTTCAAAAATTTTAATAGTTTTCCGGATACACGCAGTATTATTTCGTATGGCGCTTCCAATGGTAAAATACGAGAGAAAAATCATTAGGTGGCTTTGATGAAAATTTACTGTAGAAAATGCCATATGCCATATGAAATATAAAACCGGGAATATCTGCGAAACCGTTAAAAAATTTTAAAATACTCTAAATACAAAAAATGTTCATTTTTTAATTCTCCATCTATTGAAAAAATAATATACAGGGTGTTCCATTTAAAAAACGAAGAAAAATTATTTTATAATTTAGTTTGGCGTATTATAAGTTTGGCGTAGAGTTTTGAACATCCTGTATGATTTACGATTTCCATATTTGTAGCAAAGTAACACCGTCTAAAGTAAATATCTAGAATAGTTTCGATTTCAGAACAGTTTTTAAATAATTTTTTAAGAAAGGCTGAAAAATATATAATTTTTATTTATTTATTAATATCAATGAAATTATCGAAATATATTTATTCATGTCTTAGGATTATGTAAAGTGTTCTGAAAGAAGCCAAAAATTCAATATTATACAGGGTGTTCCATTTAAAAAAATCATCCCGATCCACTCACACTTTTTTGAGCCACCTTATAGAAGTTAAAATATTTTCCTGAAATACATCTTAGTACATAATTTAGGTTTGCACTTAAACAAAATTTTCAAGTTTTTTATTCTAGGAGCTACAGACGCTCGACGCACTATTGCCGGACCCTGTATATAAAACTATAAAATACTTGAAAATTTTAAGGTGTCCGTTTTTCGTGCCAGTGAGTAGTAACACAAAAAAATATGTTGATAAACAAAAAATTATATTGTTTTTCATTAAGTTTTACCATGAGCCACCACTTTGTGGAAATGAACTGGCCCAATAAAGATAATATGTAGTTTATTAGACTGTATATTTTAATTTATTTTATACAACTTTCGGTACAATTTTGTTTAAATATCGTTGCTAAATATATGATTTTTTATTTCAGGCGAATATCCAGCTGCTATGCACCACGGACACGGAAATTTAACCAGGAGGTCACACGTCACACTATTGTTGAGTTTAGTGTTGATTTTGCTGCTACGTCCTATCACGTAGCGCCCTGTTTGGTAAATACACATATTAGTTTTGAAAACGGATCAAAAAGCAGCGTCTAAACGCACTGAATTAGTGTTTTTTACTTTTGTACGCATTGTGGATATTGTTTATCGATATTATAGAAAAGGTTGTAATTGTTATACAATTTTTGTCAACTCAGTAAAAGAGTAAACTATTCTGCCGGTTAATGAGATGGTAAAGAAAATAATATGGCTCTGTCTATATTATGTCTTTATTTTATTTAAAAATACAAGATAAATACATGTTTTATTGAATATTTGTATTTCAGTAAATGCATTTCAATATACAGGGTGGTCGGAATTGTATTCCGGAGACTTCGGCAGCATATTCTGCAGATAAAAATAAGTAAAAAAGTTCGTATAAATGTATGTCCTAAAATGCTTAGTTTTGGAGATACAGGGTGTAGAAATTTCATTTTTATTTCGATTTTTCCCAAATAATTTCTGAAGTAACGTCAATATTTGGATAAAAATTGATGTCTGGGAGTTTTTTGACATGAGAAAATTGATTTTGATGTCATTATGACTCCAACTAGTAGAGGGCGCCACCTACAAATATTTTAACTGGTTTGAAGAGTAATAACTTTTCGTCCGTACCTGTATAAAACTACTGAGTAAAAAAATATACATTTACGACGTTTTTTATGTGAAAAAGGTCTCTTGGTAAATATCGCTACGAGTAATGGTTTTCGAGATATTTGGAATTGAAATTATCAATACCTGTCAACATTGACATAAATTAAACATGTTGACTAAACAGTTATTAGACTGAAATCATAAATTTTAAATGTTTTTATACCAAAAGTTCAACAGAAATTCATTATTTATTTGCAGAAAAATTTATCATTAATTAAAAAAAAATTACTAAATTTATTATTTCAGTGAAATAACTATCTACTCAACGTGTTTATTTTTCGTCAATAATGACATGTATTGTCTATGTCCATGCTAAATATCTTAAGAACTGTTGCTCGTAGCGATTTTTACGAAGAGATATTTTTTACGTAAAAAATTACAGAAATGTATATTTTTTCACTCAGTAGTTTTATACAGGTAGGGACAAAACGTTATTACGCTTCAAAACAATTAAAACACATGTAGGTGGCGCCCTTTACTAGTAGGAGTCATATTGACACCAAAATCAAATTTCTCGTGTCAAAAAACTATCAGACACCAATTTTCATCCAAATATTGACGTTACTTCAGAAATTATTTAGAAAAAATCGAAATAAAAATGGAACTTCTACACCCTATATCTCTGAAAGTAAGCATTTTAGGACATATATTTATAGGAACTTTTTTACTTATTTTTATGTGCAGAATATGCTGCCGAAGTTTCCGGAATACAGTTCGGACCACCCTGTATAATAACTGATTCAGTTATATTTATTTATTATTTTTTTATTTATTATATTAATTTTTCTGCATTCTAATAGTAGGAAATGTCGATTACAAGGAATCTTGAAATCCATATTACAAGGAATTTTGAAAAAAACATATGTCCATGACGTAAATATAAATTTTCCAGAACGTTTCGACACTAGTTATGTTTGATGTATAGGATTACAAAAGCCCAACACTTTCTTGAAAATAAAAAATGCTAGTATAATAATTTAATCAAAATTATATAATGTATCATTGAGAATTTCTATATTAATATTTTAGTTTGTGAATTAAACGTTAATACCAATATCATATATCATCAGTAATTTTAAGTTTCTAAATAGGAGCTACAATTCCGTTATTAGTTCAGAGTTCTTTAGTTAACAACCTCAAACACACCAGCCCTACTATCTGTGGCAAAATTGGTGATTGATTTTTTAAACTTAAATCTCCAAAGTTAGTTAAAGATATTCTGATATGTTTTGTTGATGATTTGGCACTGATAATAATAATTTTTATATATATATATATATATATATATATATATATATATATATATATATATATATATATATATATATATATATATATATATATATATATATATATATATATATATCAGAAGAAATGGTAATACTTGTTACAACAAGTATAATGTTTTTGTTTGATATAACTTTATATGAAAATAATGGACATCAGTTTTATATGAAGTGATTGGATTTGAAGAATTGTAATAAATTAGATAATTATTAAATTTTAAGAAAAAAATATATTAAATAATATATTAAAATAATATATTGATAAATTGTTTTTGGACGTTGTGTCCAAAACGAGAATTACTGTTTATCTAACTTCTCAGTTTGAAGAAAATGGTTACCATAGCCAAAAAATTGTGCATTTTCTAAAATCATTTCAGCTAAGTCACAAAACATATTTAGTTAAGAAAATGTATCAAATTTTAAAATATGCAAATTGAGTTGTTTTCTAAATATTTTTTTTAGTGTTGGAGTTATATTATTCTAACTATATTTTGTGTATTCAGTATACTGTAACAGCAATTCTAAATATTGAATTTGATTACGTTTTATTTAAGGCTGATTTTAGTGTATACGTATTATTAAATAAAGTACGAACACGGTGGACCAAACACTATTTATGTGCTAACATTTCTATTTCATTCATAAAATGTCCACTCTGTAATATAAAAAAAATATTATAATTATATTTTTGTTTCTTAAAGAAACTCATTTGTCCAATATCTGGTCTTTACCGATTGTACTTCTAAATTGGATATAGCTGATCAGACATTAGATCAGTTAAATGTTGTAATGGAAAAATCGGGTCTGTTTTTCAGATTTAGACTATTTTATAATAAGGCTTGAAATAAAACTAAATGATGTTAAGTATGAATGCTATACCGGGTGCGTTACAAAAGTGGCTCACCACTATAAATTTTTATTTTTTTTTCAGATAAAACGAGATTTGGTATGTTAGTATATGACAGAAATAAGGATTAATTGACGTATTCAATTGTTTTTTTATCATTTCCTGTTTCACCGGAAATGACCACAACATTTGATTTTTAAATGGCACCCTCTGTATGTCTCTACTTTATTGGATAGAAAATGACACTCTCAATAGAATGGCATGTCATGTGTCAACTATTAACATTTTCGCATATGGTTTATTTGAAATTATAACATGCAGTTTATAACGACACTTTGACTCGAAATATCAAGTGTGTGGTACCAAATTACTAATAAAATATTGGTTTTTACAAATATGCTAATGAGTTACCCTTGTTCCATTTGAAAATATTGAGATATGATTAAAAATATGATTTGGGCATCTTTTAACCGGACAGGAAAAGTCATGAAAAACCTTACATGATCAAATCTATTTTTCCAAGGCTCTTTGATTTAAAATTAGTGTTTTTAACACGGCCATGGCACTCTATATTGTCATTTAAAATACGATTTTTTAAGTTGACATATGATAATATGTCATTCTACTCAGAGTGTCAGTTTCTATCGAATAAAGTAGAAATATAGCGAGGGTGCCATTTAAAAATCCGGTAGTAATTTCCGGTAAAACAGGGAGCGACCAAAAACAATTTAATACGTCAATCAATCCTAATTCATGTCATACATTAAAATAGCAAATCCCGTTTTTTATCTGAAAAAATCAAATAGTTATAAGGATGAGCCACTTACGAGACGCACCCGGTATACAATGTTTTATTTAAAAATATTTATATTTAGAAAAATAATAAATCTTGATCATAGAAATATGCATGTTCTGAATTGCCTTTTTGACTAATGTCTCTAACTAACTATGTAATTTTGTTATTTATATAAATTTTAGAAAATTGAAATACATGAAGTACGATTTTTTTACATAAGGGTCATACTTTACATTTTTAGTAACACATGTTTTGTTTTCCACGTTTGTTCATCAGGGGAATTAATAAAAATATTAAATTTTTAATAATACAATGTTTACCAGATCTTTGTTGCCTTAATATTTCTCCAACGTATACCTCATTTCATTAGTCTCGGAAATTTTTAATTTAGGACAATGAGCTATTAAATTTAACATAGCATTGTAATAAAGAACTGGGAAGAATACTGAGTTAGAAATTTAATTTGTAAACATTCTTGTTAAAAGTTTTATCTTAAAGAATTTCTAAATATAATCTATGTAAATATTAACTTTTTTCGAAACAAAATATTGTACATATCAAAACGTAATAATAAACATTTAATATATAATAGAAGTTGTAATTAGAAAAATATGTTGACATTTCAAAACCGAATTATACAATTTAATTTAATATATTTGTATGCGATAAAAATGTAATATGTACTGCCGCAAACGCTATGTTATCACTCATATTCATAGTCGACACTTATCATTATCATTCCTAGTCAACACTTATCACTATAGTAATTTGATGTGAAGATCACGATAATTATCACTATCAAAACTAAATATATTTCTAATTACACACTTCATAAGTTAATACTTTTCAAATATGTAAGTAATTTAGAATCTATGTATATAGTGTACAAAGATCATTTCTTAGAAAATTAAGTCCATTTCAATATTTTGTATATAAAATTCACATTTGATGGTCGTTCTACTGTAAAAAAATTGAATATTTAAACAATAAAGATATCTATTAATAAATACAATGTTTCGTTTTATTTATTTATTATTAGTATAACAATAAACCTACCCTGTGTATTTTGTTATTTTCTTATAATGTGATAAAATATTTATGGTTTACAAATATTACAATAAATTTTCGCTCTATCCTTCCAAAATATATTTTTTGTCACATTTACTTTTTCAATTAATCCAAACAATTTTTGTTACGGAAAGTGTGTGTATTTTTTAATTAAAATTGTTTTGTTGGCAACATAAAAGGAAAACGAAAACAATGCTTACTGAAATTGACTGGTATTATGCTGCATAAAGGCAGAAAAGGAAATTTGATTGAGAGAAAAATATGTTGACATTTCAAAACCGAATTATACAATTTAATTTAATATATTTGTATGCGATAAAAATGTAATATGTACTGCCTCGAACGCTATGTTATCACTCATATTCATAGTCGACACTTATCATTATCATTCCTAGTCAACACTTATCACTATAGTAATTTGATGTGAAGATCACGATAATTATCACTATCAAAACTAAATATATTTCTAATTACACACTTCATAAGTTAATACTTTTCAAATATGTAAGTAATTTAGAATCTATGTATATAGTGTACAAAGATCATTTCTTAGAAAATTAAGTCCATTTCAATATTTTGTATATAAAATTCACATTTGATGGTCGTTCTACTGTAAAAAAATTGAATATTTAAACAATAAAGATATCTATTA